AGCAGAATTTATAGCTCTTGCAGTTTAAAACACAAATAACAGTTTAATTAGTTTTAGCAACAGTTGAAGATGAAAAGCAAAAGACACACAAAGGGATTAAAGTTATGATTCTGTACACAAATAAAAATTAGATTCAATTTATCTAGCCCTACAACAAACTGGCAACCTTTTGCCCTGTTACAGCTGGGATACACTCCAGCCCTCCATGACTCTTAACTGGATTAGAAGAAGAAAAATGGATGAATGGAAGCTTCTATATGGCGGTTGTTTTTTTGAAATGTGTAAATTCCCATCTCTTTGGGCTTCCTCAGCGTTTGTCAAACTACGAAACCAGCAAAGAAAAGATTATAGGTGACTCAATAAAATATTAATGAAAATGACTACGACTATATGAAGTAACTGAAAAAGGTTTTGGAGCAGACACTATTTGCTGGGCATGCTAAAATTCACTAATGCTAGAGGCACCATGGAGGTTACAAAGAAGGATCTTGCGTCATTTCTCCCTTCCTCATTTCATCACTCTACAACAGTACTACTATGACAAAACAATTTTCTTGCTCAGAGCGCATCATTTCAAAAGTCACTGGTTTTGCTCTGTAGCCCTTTTCTTTAAAAAAAAAAATATATTTTTTTAAAAAAATGAGTAAAGACTTTTTCCTGACACACCTCTCAACTGATTTCCTCTCATTTTAGACACAAGCATGTTGAGACCAACTGTTCCAAGAAGGTCTGCTTGTGGACTAAATTTGCAGAGAGTTAAGTTCTGAAGGAATGAGCAATTGCCAAAAGCAGAGAAAAATGCTCCCCAATTAATCCCAGATTATACTTTGTGTGTATTTTACACATTGGTGTAAAAAAGAAAAAGAAAAAAAAGAAAAGAAAATGTTCTTCTTCTTACGATTACTATTTTTTTATGTTGCCGATCAATTTTGACGATGTATTTTTGATCATATGTTATAGCTAGTTTTGCTTAAAGTATGACAATAACTACACAATGCCAGTGTCGTCTGTCATTTATTTGAGTAAATTCCCATTACCTATTGGCTTTGTTCCCAAGAGTGTCAAATATTTGCTTTTACAGATATAAAAAAAGCCAGCAATTTCTATGGAAAGTATTTACCTTCACACATGAATGGTTGACAACCATTGATACTGGGAAACGGCACCAATGTACGTCACTGTGGCATCCTAATGATGCCACAGTGACGTACATAAAATTCTAACAATGTACTTGCTGAAACAGAAAACAATTCCTGCTCTGTTTTAAAACTAGGGATGTGTGTGTTGCCCTTAATACTAGAAACTTTTTTTCCCTTCAAGACTTTAGAGAGAGGTTTTGCTAAGCAGTTATGCTATTTTCACTTTCTCTTATATAAAACTGAAACCTACACAGTGCTGGATACCAGTTTTGGAGAAAACTAAGGTGCAGTGCAATGACTTTCCTCCATTTACATGTAACATGTTTAACTAAGAGCACATAGGCAGTGAGGCCAGCTTTTATTTAATGAAATTGTCACAGATTAATTTGAAAGCACATCTTTTGTCTTTCAAAATCAAGGATACTTGATCAAAACTAACAACGAGGAAAACAATGAGTGGCATATAAAACTATACATGTCTACATACCAGAAAGGAAACTAAAGTTAACATAGGAAAAGACTATATATTTATGTACAACAACCAGATGTGCAGAAAAAGGAAAACTGTATGAACAGCTGAATTATTGCTAATCAGTTAAATGCAAAATTAGTAGCAAATATATACATATATATATTAGCTACTCATAAGCTGGCATAAAACTGCTGCTCTTAAATTTTTAAAATAGCACCAATATGAATGAGATGAGACCACGGTAGCTGATTTTACACTGACATGAAGACGATTTAGTTTGAAAGTGTATGAAATCAACTGTAGAGGAAGTTGACTAGCTAAGAGCAGTTAACACTGATAAAAAAGCAGAACACAGTGGTATAGTGGACAGGCAAGTTTTTCTAACACCTCAAAACAAACAGAAACCATTGTGCACTACACTCTACAATCTGAGTCAGAACGTACATTTGCTTTTGTGTTAATGTAAAAGTGGAGCACAGAGCACAGCGGTGCCGTTTGTGACAATGAGCTGTGACAAAGAATGAGAGGTGGTTTCAAAGGTGGCTTTGGGACAGGAAAAACTATGTTCAATTTTGAAACATGAACCTAATGGTCATTCACAGGTATTAGGTTGGTACATGTTTCTTGTAACCTGACCTTGTAAGTGACCTCTAAAAGGGCATAGCAAGGCTTCAGGGAGTCCACATCCACAGGGACGAGCAGTCGAGGCTCTGCAGCCAGCACAGCCAGGTGCCGAAGGGCCTGCAGGTGGTAGCTACAGCAAACACAGAAATACAAATATGCATTTGTTTTTGTTTTTTTAATTACTAATATGAACGGACAGACATTCATAACAAACATATTGGGTTTTTTTAATATAAAGAATGACAGAGAATTGTGTTGTTATTCTCCAAAATTGAGACAAGCTTAGTTTTTTTACTGCAGGTGTGCCATTCTGAATTTTACAGATCATACGCCACTTCAAGGTTACATAATCTCTACACCATATTGGGGCTAACACTCCCAACTCCGTTACTGGTTAAAGGAGCAGAGGTATAGTGCTTGAAAAGTTTTCCTACCATTTTAGCTATGATGTTCTAAGTATTGGACAACTAGGCTGACTCAACAAAAACGGCAATGCATTTCAGCATTTAAGAAAAGTGAAGTCAGAATTAAGGAAGGGGTTTTTGTTGGGTCTTAAGTCTCTGAAATGATAGTTGAAAATAAATTTAAAAGGAAACTAAAGCCACCTGAATCAGCAGCATCGGGGAAGGATTTGTGCAGGTTGTCCAGTACTTTTTTGGCAATCAAAGAGCAGAGACGGATTCTGAGCTTGTGGATACCATGCCGAAAGCACATCAGCTAATGAGTGCCAGAATATCTTCTTTTCTTTCTTTTTTTTACACCAAATCTGGCCAATGAGCATGGGAAAGACTTCACCAAGAAATAAAATTGATTGAAAACCAATATCAGGGAAGATTTAACTTGAGTGCTGGTTTTTGCACAGATGAATGGATGTGCAGTACCAACGCAAAAGCAAGCACCACAAATATTTTTAAGCACACTGCACTTATTTTAAGCTAAACTGACAGAAAGATGCTTCAATGCATTTCTTGCATCGTCTTCTTATTTCTTTTCAGAATAAAACACCAAAAATATTTTGGTGGGAAACATCTAAACACATCTAAAATTAGTGTAAAGCACTGTGCAAATTTTATAGAAGTTGTACAACAACTAGTACAAAAACACATGAGAGAGCCACACAAGCAATCATCTGTCCATCACTAATGAAATGATCACAAAAATCATATTCTTATAAGTTTCTATTGCTACTTTTTGGTACTTACACAGGTTATCAACTAAACTCTTATTTTAATATTGTGCGCATATGTATTAGTCTCACCGGTTGTCAGTGCTGTGAGCAGGGAAGTGTGGATACAGGGCACACAGCAGAGCAGCGATGGCTGAATTGGAGGTACTGAGGGTGTACCTGAAAGATGACGTCAAACAACATCACTAAAAAAAAATACAAATACACCGTTCTTTCTTTTCACAAAACATTAAAACATGTTCAGTACATACTGATGGGTTTGTAAGGAGAATTTAATTACACAAGCCATTGTAAAAAAAAACGACAACAATAAACTTAAACAATAGAGTACTGTACATAAGTCTTGAGTCACCAATGATCCAGACTTCCAAGTAATCTTACACTGCAACTTAGTGGCAGCAGGTCTTATGGAGTGAGGAATCCAATTTTGAAATGTTTGGTTCAAATTGTTGTCATTTTGTACGAAGGTCAAGCAAGAGCTACAAAAGTGTCTACAGCTATCTGTAGGCTCCTTCATGGTCTGAATTTCAGCCAGCTTTTCTGGGGATATTGTCAAAATTAATGGAATTCTGATCCATAGCAAAATATTCAGAAATAAGATATTCCTCAAGACTTTTGCACTGTTTTTTTAATCTAAATATATATTTGAAGAACCTTGTGTATAAAAGCAAAACACATTCTTCCACATAAACTTTGTGTTCTGTTAGTTAAAGCAGGTGAGTACTGTAATCCAGTTAAAACCTTCAGACTGCAGTAGAGCCACTTAAACGTAATAGCTGGCAGTTAAGCATCTACTTTGACTCAACATTATTAAAATGACCCCATTAGTCATACAATAAAGGCTTCTTGTGTCTGGAAGGTTACTGAGGTTCAACTGGGATAAAGGATGTTGCTCTTCATTTAATGGCTCCTTAATACTTTTAATTCCTCTACTCTAGTAGTTCCAAACTTCAGGGTCAGCATGCCCTAGAGTTTCATAGAGGGTGTTACAGAAGTCCTGCAGCAAGTACACAGTAGACAGATAACACAATAATCATGCTTCAAGCAAAAAAAAACAACCAAACTATTTCCAGCTTCTCAGTTCTTGATAAAAGTGAAAATAGTTTGGGCTTTGGGGCACAAAAATGACAAAACAATCATAGTAAGAAAAATCGACACTTCTGTTAAACTAAATTTCTAACTTTTGCTTATACATTCCTTGAGACAGAATACCCTTATTGTACCCCCATAGCCTTCTAATAATTGCACTCAAACCTCTGGTTTCAAAACAGACAATGACATATGGCAAAGGGAAAACAAGGACAAACAGGATGTCCTTAAAATCCTAAAACAATTGGGAGCCACTGCAGTGCTCTCTACCAAAATACTGTTTACTTTATACCGCTACACTAAAAGCACCTCAGTCCAATGAGGTGCTTTAGTGAAGCATCATCAGTTTTCTATTTTAAGCAAATAAAGATTTTTTTTCTGCTTGTAGCACTGAGTCAGTCAAACTGACTAACAGCAACATTACACGACTGAAGAGTCCTACCATTTGGGCGCCTGGCTGCTGCTTAGACTAAAAGAGGGATGAATGCTAACAATCAGTTCTTTTGAGTCACTTTCCTTTTGTGGTGCGCTTGACATTTTCAAATTCTGTTGAAATGAATGAACTTCCAGGAGACTGAGCCAAAACAAAAAAGAAAAAGAAATAAATCCAAACAAAATAGGGGCAAGTAGCAGAATCTAACTCTAGTTCTGAGTCTAGCATTTTAGTCAGTGTCAGTGGGACAAGTATAATATATCTTATGTGCTCATGCTTAACTAGTACAAACTGAAACTCATGCAAACAGAAAGAACTCGTGATAGAAAAGCCACAGTCACCTTTGAAATACAGATCTAAGCCCTCTTCACACAAACTGTGTACACTGTTGGAAGAACTGGATTGAGCTGCCCATTCTCACATAAGCAGTGAGAATGGGCAGACAGTGTTCTTACTACTAGAAATACAACATCTGAGGCAGAATAAAGGTGCTGTAGGGTGAACTGTGTAGGGCAAATGAACACTGGCTCACAATATCTGGCCAGTTATCACATGGGGCCAATCAGACATCAAACAGTCTTCGTACAAGAGAGGTGACAGTTTAAAAATTATTCAATGTGAAATCCAGCTGTGTCAGACACAGTTTGCGTCACTTCAGTTTCCTACTGGGGGACAATTACCAAGCTCTATCTCAATTGAGATCCAATGGGAAGAGGAAATTAAATAAGTAAATAAAGAAGGAGAGGTTGAGGAAAGGGGAAATAAAGAACAAAAAGGATCACCAAATAAAGAGACCAAACGTAAATGGGAAAAACATACGTGAGAAATTGAATGAGGAAAAAAAGAAGGGCCATGATGTAATGATAACTGCTAAATAAGTGGAGAGCAAATGTGACCAGGACATTTTCAATGGAAACAGAGAAACTAAATGACATACGAGCAGACAGCGAGACTGCAGGAAAAGTGACAGTGACATAGCATGACTCTGCTACCCAGCATGACCTACAATCTCTGAAATGACACAAGACAAACTGCTTATGAAAATATATGCTATCGTGCAGAGCATTCAAACCTGCAGTCCTTACAGTGTGTGGGCTTTCAGCTGGCAGGTCTAAAATAAAATGTGACCTGAATGAAATGAAAAGGTCCATCTGATTATGGCTGTAGGTGGAGAGATGTTTTTGCAGAATGTGATGAAAGAGTGGGAGCTGTTGTTTCTCTTCAAAATACACAGACCAGGGTCAGCGGTTTGAGGAACCTAGCTTGGTGTGTGTTTGCGTGCACATGTGCGCATGAATGTCATTCATTATGTGGAACACAGCACTCAAAGCAGACTTTTTTGTATTTGTGTGGCTAACCCACGCTGTGCATGTGTACGTGTTGCATATGGTCTTTCCCAGAAAAAAGCAGGGTGGGTGTGGGTTTGCATGTATAGATGGATGGATGAATGCATGCAATTGTTCAATTCAGGTGTCATATGACAGCCTACATACAGAATATAACTCAAACCTCAGTGTCTTCCTTCATTCAAGAAGCATGAGCAACATCAAAGAGTGTGTGTGTGTGTGTGTGTGTGTGTGTGTGTGTGTGTGTGTGTGTGTGCGTGCGTGCGTGCGTGCGTGCGTGCGTGTATTTATTTTTTGAAGCATGATTCCTTAGAGGTTGTTGTGGAAGTTTAAAACAATGCCCACCTTGTTGGTACCTTGCCTGTTGTATAGTCTTGAAATGATTTTATGTATGTAAACATTTGCGTTTATCTATGAGTATATTGTACAGTTTTTTCTTCTTACTGTTATATTTATTACTACTGTACTTCCAAGCTTTACAGTTCTTCAGAAAAATCTACATCAGAGAACCACATTGTTTCATTGTGTGAGATGTTTCTCCAGTATCTTGAATACTGGAGCCACCGTTGTTAAGATATCATCAGTACAACACTAAATATGTATTCATCTACAGCTGAAAATAAAATGCAGCAAATGGTCTAGTTGATGCTTTTTGGAAACAAAAATGATTTTAAAAAAAGCCAATAAAAAAAACAAACAAACCTATATTTAATATTTAGAGACTAGAATATTTGTCACCTCATCAAAAAGTTATTTAGGACAGAGTAAGCCATCGCTAGCCAAGAGTTAGGCTAACTACAAGAAAACCAGCCTGATCTTTATGTTCAAGTAAAAACACAAGTTCAGTGATTACAGAAATTGCTTTACCGGCCGCTCTACCCTTTCCCCAAAGCAACTTGACAAAAGCCTTTTGATTTTTGGCCTGAAAATGCACTTCAGCTATGAATAGATAATTGACAATTGATATGAATTCAAATGTATTATAGTTTTATACTAGTTTTCTTCACTTGCAATAAGGAATATATTTTAATAAATTTCAATGGGATTGGGAAAATGGCCATATTTTGGTTGTTCCCATCTCACCTGCCTCCTCCCAGAAAGAGCAGACCCAGTGCCATGTGATGAGCCATGTGGAAGCCATAGTTCATTTCACCACCAGTCCGCTTGTGGAAGAAACGACAAAGCTGCAGGACCTTCAGGTTTCCTGTACCAGACATCACCATGGACATAGCCAGCAGAATCATTGACAGGCAGGTCTGGAGGTTGTAAAATGTGTGCTAGGGAAGAAAAAGAAATCAAAGAGAAAATAATTTAACTAAGTAGATGAGGTAGCACAACATTGTTTCTTACTGTTAACAAAGTCAAAAATATAAAACACTCACAGCACCCACAGCAGCTGTACCAGCAAAGGACATGATTGTCATGTGGGTCCTGGCCAAGCTATAAAGGCAGTCAAAGGCATCAGAGTTGGCAGAGCCAGCAAACCGTAAACCAAGTGCCAAACAGGCCCCAGCTGTAATGTAGTCTTGGGCTTGGCTAAGAGAAACAAATACAATCAATTAGCAGAATTCAAATGTATAACATGAGTTGATGTTTTTGGCTTCAATACTTACGCCATCGTCTCCATGTTAATGTCCTCTGAAGGGTCAAAAGTCCCTCTCATGATCTGAAAACAAAATGAAAGTTGAAAACAAAATATAGACATGAGTGGTCAGGTTTCAGAAATAATACTTTTGACAGTATTTATTTGCTAAATTAATTGAAAACTCACAAAATTCTCATGATAAAACTATGGAAATAGAAAGTAAACATCAGGGAGGAAAGGGCAAAAGAAAAATCATAGGCAGTAAGGTGACAGTGGTTTAGAGTTAGCTTGCTCTCTCATGTTTGTGTGTGGCCAGCTTCATCCCATAATCCAAAGACATGCAGTTACTGGGGCTAGGTTAAGTTAACTGGTGATTCTAAATTAGCCTGTCTCTCTCTCTCTCTCTCTACTGGTTGTGCAGCAAGCTGTCCAGGATGTACCCTGCCTGGGTCCTGTTGCAGCTGGCATAGGTTCCAGCTAGCACATGACACTGCACAGGGTGAACTTAAGAAAATGGATGGAAGGAATGAAAAGATATTAAAGCATAAATCTCTGTATAGTGCTGACTATAATGCAGCTATTCATACCTGATTAGAAGGGCAATAACCCGTTTTGAGTGTGCCAAGGTTCTAGTTACTAGTATTTATTGCCATTCAAAATACAAACCACAAAAATGTAGTTTTACATATTTATATCTAGTGGTGTAAATTACATTGTAGCAGTGTTTCTTAAACTGTGGGGGTGGGCCCCCCTACTGGGGGATAAAGTCATTGCAGGGGGGCGTGGACAACCAGAAGAAAAACATAAAAGATGGGAGTGAAACTAAACTGAGTTGAATGCTATCATGCTGACAGTCTTTTTAGTTATCTATGTGACAGGGGGAAAAAAAACATGAAATGGAATACATTTATGTTATTAAAGATTAAAAGTATGGGATTATTTTTTCCTTTTTGTCATAAAAAGGCAGAACAAGCCTGAATTAATTATTTGATACTGTTCCCAAGGGGAAAATATTTCTGGCAGTTTTGCTGACCAATACATTGAATTTTCTTCATCATGAAGATATCAAGCAACAAACACTGCAATAAACTATCCACATCTACAGGTAAATGGCTTGGCTGATTTACAGATAGAATTTTGGCCTTGGTCAAATTTATGTGAGTTTATGTTATCTGTAAGCCTATAAGGACATAGGAAGTTAAAGGCTAATATGCAGACTATTTGTTTTAAAGTCACTGTAATTATTCACAGTGTTATCAGACACGGCTTATTTTCCTGCCATTTCTCAAGCTTAGCGGCCACACAGGTTTTCACTGTTCTATAACTATATTTACATATACACGTTGGACATTTTTTTGATGTTTACTCTCCCAGTCGTTTGTTGAAACATCTCTAAGATGTTTCCAAGTTGTATTTTGCTCAGATAACTTTTCTGTTTTTAGAAATAGCCTTTTTCTTGTTTATCCACTGACGCCATTTCTGCTCATGTAAACTACCCATCCATCTTTGGGTGCATCAGTAAAGTACAACTACAGACCAGGGGAAATGCTTTTATTAACAGAATGTAGCTAGAGTCATTATGCTGTTACAGCAATTACCAAGAACCAATATCAGTGCATCTTCCAAAAAATAAGCCACCAGAATTGGCTAAATTAGCTAACTGAAAAAGGGTAAACCTGCCTCCATCCACACAAAACCACACGTCACAAATGGGATTTTCTTTGCAAGTTGTTGATTTGTTGCAGGGTGTGTGGCATCATGGCTCCAAACATGTCCACTTGTTCCCCTATGTGTGTGTGTGTGTGTGTGTGTGTGTGTGTGTGTGGTGTGCTTATTCTCACCTGTGGGATGTTACTCTTGACCCAGATAGTATTAGGCAGGATTTCATCCCACATGATAATACACCGGGCCAGAGTCTTTAGGGGTAGAGAGAAAAGAAGAAGAGACACAGGTATATCAGATTAAAATATAGAAAGGTGGGAAAAAAGATCACACACAGAAACACACAGAGCTAGATCCACACTAACCCTCAGCAGCAGAAACTCTGGCTTAATGAAGTCCAGGAGGAACAAAGTATCTGGAGGTTTCAGCCAATCAGCAATCGACCTAGTGGGCGAAACCATGATGAGAAAAGGGAGTGTTAATACCTTCTTTCAGCACCCTCTCAAACAACAGATAGCAGATGAGCTTTAAAGAACCTCTTGACCATTAGACTGTTAGAAACTGGAGGAGTCTCAGTCTGATGTAGTGTAATGTCACTATTTTTTCCATCAAATAGGCTATGGTGCTCCAGTTACGGTTCACGTGGGCAAGAAGTGGTTAGAAAGTCGAACACAGCACAGGACATTTTGGCCATTTTAAAGAAACACCCCACCAGCATTACAGAGTAATTACGGTGGAAAGATTCTGTGCCCCTTGAACAGTTTGCTACTTCTAATTCTATAACACCGGTATTACATTTTGTGGGGGGGTAAATGTTTAATGTAATATTTTTATGTTTTTTTCCCAGTTTATTCTATCTAGTTCTGTTTCTCCTAATAAAATAAAACACTTGTCAGCAGAGTATCTCTTTTTAGATTGTTTTGTCACACCATGAAGAGTATGCCTACACTCTTTGTATACAAATTTTAGGAGGTCAGTAGAAAGGAGATAAATCTAAAACAGAAGTCTTTAAGTCGCCTTTCCAAGACATGGAATAAACCTATTTTCAAATCAAAACTTTTTTATTTTATTTTGGAGACAAAAATGTAAAACGCTTTTTTCTCTCACCTGTTGTTGGTCTTGAGGTAGATCATGGCGAGGGCTAGCGTAGCGCCTGGACATGTCACATCTACATTAATAGTGTCACCCTCCTGAAATGACCATTGGTACGGTTAATTAGCTAATCACAGAAGCCAGACCACTGTTTCATCAAATTATTTGGTCAAACTTCATCTAAAGAGAGGTGTGTCCCAACTGCAAAACCCCTTCACACCTACATAATTAAATATGACAATTAGCTTTTGCAATTGGGATAGTTTATTTAATGCAATATTGTTTACTCGTGCTACTTTAGAGTTTTCTTACACATTTGACATTGGCACATGTGACAACAATAAACTGAGAACAAACCTCAACTAATACGAATATGGAAAATAAAATTCATGAAGATTTTTTTACCAAATCCTTTCCTATTAGTGGGGAAAAAACAATACATCAGCACAGACTGAACATATGAAGAAC